ACGCTCAGCCTCCGGCCACCTGTGCCGGTAGAATCGGACAGGGCGGAGTTCCATCGAGCTCGTCTGCCCTTTTTGTTTTTTGTTGTTTGGGGTGTAAGACCGTGCTTCGCACCGACATCTTGCCTCATCTACACACCTACCAAGACCCGAACGAGCTGGACAACGTCAAGGGGAAATTCCCTCCCGAGCAAGTGCGCTGGCCCGTGCCCAGAGTCGGAAACGTCGATGAGCACAAGGACTTTTGGGAGGCGGTTGGCCAGCAAGTGCAACGGGACTGCAAACGGCTGCCCCGCAAGGCAGCTCCTTCACTGGATGGCAACCGCTTCGAGCATTGGGCATCCTCGTCGGAGGACTCCGACTACGCGAAGCACCTCGCCATAATGTCCGTCCAATTCGCCAGCGGCCAGGCGCCGGATTTTGTCTACCGATGCGCCCGAGCTGGGCGCTTGCTCATTCTCCGCAAGAGTGACGGCGGCATCCGCCCCTTGGTCATCACCGCCGCGCTCCAGCGCATTGCACTTCGCGCGGTGATCACGGTGTTGACCCTCCGTGCCACAGCGCATGTGGGGGAGGAGCAATACGCCATTGGCAGGTCGGGTCCTGTCGAGTCGAGCACCCACGGCATCCAAGCAGACGTGCTCCATGACAGCGAACGAGTTGCAGATTCCCTTGACATCAAATTATGCTTTCGGCTCCATGAGCCGTGGTGTTATGGCCGACGATGCCGTCACTGCGTTCCCGGAGCTGGCGAACCTCGTGTCCACCCTGTACTGCACGGACACGCCCTTGATGTGGGAGGATGGCGACGGGGAGGTGCAGACCATCACCGAGCAGACCGGCATGGACCAGGGGTGCCCCTTCGCGCTGCTCGCCTTCGTGGTCGGCCTCAAGCGGGTCCTCTAGCGAGCACGCGCCCTCCTACGTGACGCTGGCCTCGACGGTGGTGTCCGCTATAGGTCACACGTGCCGCTTCGCGCCTCCCCGCGGTCCTCGCAGCTTTTCGCCAGGCCTTGGCCGAGTCCAGCATGACGCTCAACGAGTTCAAGCTGAAGCTGTGGGGCGTCGAGCGCAACGTTCTGCCGATGGACCTCCAGCAGTACCACGTGGAGACGCTCCAAATTCTGGGGCACGCCGTTGAGCGATCTGGCGGGCAGATGCACACGTTGTGGTTTGGGGACTTTGGCGGGTTTTCGCTTCGGTCACGGCCGCCCTCAGAGCCAACCTCGACAGATTGTGGACCTTGCACGTGGAAGGTGGGCTCCCCAAGCAAGTCTCGCAGGCACTGGCGCGCTTGGCCGCGCAGTCGAAGCCACAGCACGTCCTGCGCGGCGCCGCAGTCTCCGCCGAGCAAGCCCGGGCCTGCGACGCTGTGGTCGGACACTTCTGGGCTCGACTGCTCGGCGAAGCTGGCAGTTTCGACGCACACCGCAGGGTGCAGCTACACATGTCATTAGGGGAACAAAAAGTGTCATAAACATAAAAACTCGGAGGTCCGCGCGGATTTCTCGGATCGGCGCTGGACCCCCCTCCCTGGCGCGCGGAGCGCGCCAAGGGCGGCGCTGGAGGCGCCGCCGGGGGGTACCAGCGCCGATCCGAGAAATTCGCGCGGACCTCCGAGTTTTTATGTTTATGTCACTTTTTGTTCCCCTAGTCATTGCGTCACGGCGGCCTCAGCGTTGGCGGGGTGGAGGTGCGTGCCGCTGCTGCCTTCCTTGCCGGCACTCAGGGCGTTAAGCGAGGTGATGAGCACTTGGGGTTGACTGAAGGGGCCCTGGGACACACAAATAAATACACACAAAAAAAGGATTCCCCATATTTTCCAGTATTTTCTGGGTTTTTGTCTTCCCCCCCACTTCCCATATTTTCCCATATCTTCCTGGGGGTCGACGATTCACTGTGTCTGTGTGTTTGGAACGGTTGGGGCTGACACCGCCGCGGAGCTCCGGCACGGGCTCCCGCAGCACGTGGAGGGCACGAACCGCGCGGCGACGAGCCTGGAGCAGAAGGGGGCGCGGGAGCAGGCACGCTCCTCCTCCTCCTCCTCCTCCTCCTCCTCCTCCTCCTTCTCCTCCTCCTCCTTCTCATCCTCCTCCTCCTCCTCCTCCTCCGCCTGTGTCGGGTCGGGCGAAAGGGGGGGATAGCAAAGGGGGGGTTTGAGAATCAGCTCACGTAGCTGATTTTCCCGGCGCCTCCCGGCGCCGGGAGGCGCCCATGTATCGAGGAATGGGCCCCTCGGTGAGGCCGAAACCAGCTGCATGCAGCAAATTTCGTAACCCCCCCTTTCCCGATCCCCCCCTGTCGCCCGACCCGACTGTGGCAAAGCGACCGGCCGCAGCCCGTCAAAGCTATGCAACGAGTCTGGACTCGAGCAGCCCAGCGCAACCTGCACGATCAGCTCCTGGGGTCGGCCACGCAGCGCCGTGCAGTGGCTCTCAGATCCGCCTCCACTCCGGAGGCGAGCCGCATCTTGGACCCGCCGGGGGCAGCATCCGACCAGACG